GACAGTCTTTGTCTGCACTTCTTCCCTCCTCTGATATAAATAAGACGGTGCATTAAAAGGCTGTAAATCATGGTTATTGTTTTCAGTCCATATGGAGGCAGTTTGAGACCAGCTCCTGACCTGAGACTCCCAGTGAATAACACTGTAGATGCTTTTCAATGTCCATTTTATGAAAGCAGTAAACAAACATATGGGCAATACTGAGCACTAAAGGAAATGTTCATCAAACTAAGATATAAACTGTTAATTAGTAATGGTGTTGTGGGTGTAAATGGTTTGTCAGATATCAGTTGGTCTTCACTGCTCCCCTGAGTTAACATCTGATATAATGTCACCAATTTTTACCTCTACTACTACAGTAGGTCTACGTAGAAGTACACTGTCTCTGTGACAGAACTCAGTAAGGTCTGATATTTCCTGCAACAAAATGTTGAAAAAAAAGAGTAACTTGTGATGATAAAAATGTTACCATTACTACCACTATTTAGGGTTTTTCTAGCATTGACTCTGTACTGTAAACCACGAAAGGCAGCAATTTGACTTTTTAGTTTCATAAGTGAATTCAGTCCAAACAGCTGTGATCTACTGAGCAGTGAGTGGCTGCAGGTGATTCTGCCAATCATAAAGCTGCAAAAGCTGTTAGGATCAGCATAAAAGCCATCAGCATAACCCTGTGGTGGAGAGAGGAAAAAAAAAACGCATATAAGGCCTCTGAACAGTGCAGAGCCGTGGAGCTGCTGTGCCAAGTGGTTAGCTGTGCATAAAAGAAAATTGTTGCCGGGGCTGAGGCTGCCAGCCGCTGATTTGGGCTTCAGTCAATTGTAACAGGTTTATCTTTATTACAGGTTTATTTTTATTCTGGCCATTTCTTCGTTCTCGATCCTTCTAGGTTTATTTCATACTTTCTATAATTCAGTCTTTACAGCTGAGGTCACCAACTGTACTTGTCAGACGGACAGAACTTTTCTGAACAGACATCTTGGGGGCAGGACAGATAAAATGAATAAAAAATTACATTTTTGTCAGAATTTAAATGTTGGAATTATTGATAATGGTTCAAGTCTCAGTTTTGTTTTGTTTTTTCAGACTTTAATTGTGGCGATAATTATTGATAGTGATTCTTGTTTTTTCAGACTTTAATTGTGGCGAATACGTGATATTTTCTCTTTGATCTTTACAATTGTCCCGGATTGGACAGTTCGGTGGCCTGGTTTTGGTCCACAGGCCGCCAGTTGGTAATCATTTCCCTAAATGTTTTCAAACTATAAAATAAAGTTCTTAGTGAAGGTTTGATCTTTGCCTTAAACCTTCCTGTTTATACACACACCTTTTTTTATTAATTACATTAATTATTAACTTAAGAAACAGAGCAGGATATATTGCTGTATCTCTCTCTCTCTCTCTCTTTGTTATTTTCCAAATTCCATGCATTAAATGCATTTGAAGCAACAATGATTGTGAAGGTGTTGTGCCTAAAAAAATAAAAATAAAAACACCCAAGTACCGAGCATCTAAAATGTCTTCCAGATATATTTGGACACCATCTCTAACCCAAATAAAAATTCTGGAATGTTCACTGAGGTAAATACGCACATCTGAAGATCAGGTTCTGACGGAAATCAGTTCTTTGGTCCCACATGACGTCAAAAACTGATCATCCATCTGTCTTAACTTTAGAAATGCAGTCCATGGCAGTGAATCCTCAGTTTGTCCTTGGCCGCTCACAGATACGGCTCACAACTTCTAAATTGTTGTCAGTATTAAACTGGCTGTGGGGGTGTGATGTAACAGCCAGACCTGTGAGCTCTCTCAAAAAGATCCTGAGCACAAACCAAACCTTCAGAAAAGTGGCTCTTCAGGCAGTTGCAGGGATGAAATCTGTATTATTATTGATTTGTGTTCTTTCATTGGAATTCATGTTTCAAACTCTCCACCTTTCATCTTGTTCTGGTCCTTGAAATTAAAAAGGTAATTTCACAGCCGTATGGTTCTGTCAGATACCTAACAGAGACGTGGGCTATTAAGAGCCACTTAAATGATGCCAAAATACCTTTTTTTTAATTATAAAAGTAGCTGCAAAGTAGTTGAAAAACTGCTATTGTAAATGTGCAGAGAGAGACACCTACATTTGCCCAACGGTCATTACCATAATTTGCTTAGAGCTAACGAGTTACACCAAAGTCATTGTATAATATAAATTTAAAGAAGTAAAAAGACAAAAAACCCGACAAAACAAAACATGCCATCAGTGTTGTAGAACGCAAGGATAATTTTCATTTTTGACTCGGTCTTTGACGCCATCTAAAACCTTTTACTTTTCAGGGCCTTAGAGAAGGAGATATTTTAGTCAGTCCTTCACATTTTTGATGTGTAATTGTTTTTTACAGACTATTTGTAAATGATGCATGGCAACTTCCTGTGGAGAAGTACTAAACTAATAAAACGGTATCTTAATAGTGTAATACAGCTTATGGTGTCGAAGGTCATGAATATTCAGCAAACACTTTTGATCCTTCAGTTTTTACATGCAGAGATGCTTCACCAGACTCTGGATTGTCATTATATACAGTAGCAATTGATGTACAAATGATTTTTAAACTGAGAGACACTGTTTGGCAATGAAACCTGTTGCATTCAGGAAATATGTTTAAAGGTATAAATGCTAAAAAATAAGGAAAGTTAATTGCAATTTTTTTAAGTTGTCCAATTCAGTGATTTCCGGTGTCGCAGTACACCAAGGTATTTACTGCAAATCATTTCTATATGACAGTGACACGGAGAACAATTAAATGTTCCTCCACTAGATGGCACCAAATTGCTTTTAAAAATAGAGGAAAAAAATATTTTTAATATTTAAAAATAAAACAAAAATAGAGAGATTCAGAGCTGTTGAAGGAGAGTTTAGTTTATCCTTTCTTTAATTCCTGTAAGTATACAGGTATCATGGTTCAACTAAACAGGCACAGTTTTTATGCTTTTTAAATTGTGGATACATTAAAACTAGGAGATCTTTACTTTTACATTACATTTACATTAATTTTCTAGACATTTTTGTTTTGGTCTCAAAGGCGTTAAGGAAATGTTGGTCTAAACAACCAACAACGATCACTATCCTTTGGTTCTTTCTGAAAGGGTCAATATTTAACCAGTTCATATCTACAGGATTTATTGTGTCCTACAGTATATCAAGGAAACCAAAAGTAAAGAGCCAACTGTTAGAAGCTGATAGAGAATGTGTGTCAAAGGTTTGTGCCAAGTTATCTTGGGAATATTGATTTTCTTTTTTTCTGTCTATCAGTCAAGACCTGAACCACATGGCCACAAACTATGAATCAAGTGAAGACTTTACACCGCAGCTGCCCGTCAGCTGGACAGCAAACACAGCGTCTGCACTGACTCCAGTCACAAGTTTGAACACTTCAGTGTGGAATCCCAGAGTTCCTCCCTCTGGGAAGGTGTGTGTGTGTGTGTGTGTGTGTGGACATACATGGTTTTCCTGGGTGTGTCTCACACGCAGGTAGTTACGACACTTTAACAACTTTGTCTTTTTCCCAGCCTGATGTCATTCACTGCTGTGGAGTAACTGCAGGAGTGGGCCACCATGGGGCACAAATAGGAAAAGATGTTTGGATTATTCCGTCAGTGCTGACTCACAGACGCAGGTACGTTGTTCTTTTCCTTCCTTTTGCCTTCCTCACTATCTCAGAACATTGTTGGTATATTTGACTCCCACATCTGGACCAAATGTTGAAATAGAAAACATTAGACTTTTGTTTGTTTTTTTAAATAAGCTACAAATATTTATAGCAAACATTTCTGAGACATTACTGATGCTTTAATTCATTTACCGTTACATCTGTAATGTCGAGGCAGTGGTAACTTTCAGACACTTTATAGCCACAGTGGCCACACACACGGTGCCATATGGGTTTTGTGAGACTTTTGCTTTTTAGTTCATTAGAGTTGATTTTTTAACCTGGTAAAGACACACATTCTCATGTGATGTCAACTATGGCATCAATAACCCAGGCCACCAGTACACTAAAGCAAATGCAATAATAATGTTTTCTTTGACTTTATTTATGTAACGAAAATTGTATACCGTTTTGAAGGCACATATACAGTAACAACTGGGACTTTGACAAGTTACAACTTGTTCATATTTCTGTTTTTTTAACTACACATCGATTTGTTTTGGGAGGATTACGATGCCAGTTATTAAAGTTTTACAACTAGAATTATTGATCGGTCCTGCTTTTCTAAACTCTGGATGTTTTCATCTGATTCTTCTGCATTTTCACATCTTGACTTATCTCCTCTGTCATGGTCTCTAGTACTCCTCGATATAATCACAGATTCTGACTTATACACACAC